GTCACTGACACACTACCTGCGGGTACTGACCGCGCGCCTGAACGGCAGAGCTTCAGCTCTGCTCTAGCATGGGTGAAACACTCCCAGTCTTCAGGCTGGCAGAGCAGACACTGCTGCACTGCCATGGAGACTGCTGAAGGTCAGAAAGGTGCAATTGTCTCAAAAAAGGGAGTTGTAAAACCCACCTTACTTTATGGAACTGAGAGGTTGGAAGGAAGGGAAGCATGTGACTTACCACGGTTGTCACCCACAGTAGCATTGCTTCATGAGGGCTCTCCAGTCCTTCCCATGCCACATTCTGATGTGCCCGACTTTCCACCCTGCACTTTGCTAACAGTCTGTCTAGGAGAGTGTTGGACCCAATTCTGCTGCAGAAAGGAATGAGACTTACTCGAGGGCCTCTAAAAATGCAGGAACAGTTACGCAGAGATGAAAGCAGCTTTCATCTGTTCAGATCAAACAACCTGCAGTATATGCTCCGAGCTTTTCCCATTTTTTAATTTAAAACTCTTCCATAAATACTGTATTTAACCTTATAGAAATATTGTCATCCAAATCCAGATTTTAAAAAAGAACATGCTGCTATTCTGTATGGGTGGTGGTGTCTTCGTTGCCACTTCACTTGTAGCTATCGCATGTTCCTCAGCGACCTGGTAAGACAGAAAAAGCAGCAGCCTTCTGGGGAGAAATTTTAAGCAAGTGGCATCTGACATAACCTTGCCTACTTTCTCTTTGCAGTTTTTCAGTTGTTCCTTTTTTTAAACTTTTGATGATCATTCTCTCTCTCTTCCCCTTCCCTAGAAAGGAAAGGCTGAAATCTTGAAGTCCCTCATTTGAAATGTGCAATCAATACCTGCATCCTCTGTTCCTCTTCCTCCCCAGATTTATTCTAGATAGGCAATTCCTTTATTTCTCATGAAGGACCCCATGGTGCTCATGAGCACCCATAACTGAAATACAGGAACTCTGTCATCCTGAAACATGGCTGTGTAGTTTCCAGTATTTGGAGCAACAATTACAGGCTTCATCCCAGATCACTGCGACATTCTCAAGCAGATGGGCCCAACAGTTTGCAGCAGTTGGAAGAGTGTGCTATGAGCCATGTCCCCTTTCCCACCTCCTGCATGCTCAGTTTAGCTGATTGGCATAACTGGAACAGACCCAACACTTCCTGACAGTCATAATTTGATGAAGTAATTTTCCTTTTTTTCCCCTCCTGAGAAGAGACTTAATTCTCAGCTCACCTACAGAGGAGGCCTGGTTATAAAGACAGAATACACAACATATACGAACTGTGTTACAGCCTGAACAACAGGAAATTATTTCCAGTTATTTTCTGTATCGTATCACACACGAAACTGGCCAGCGGTTCAAAAAGACAGAGCAGAGAAAACAAGCAGCTTAGTGATGACGTGAGCACCCTGGCAACTGACCTTCACATAAAGCACTGCTGTGGATCCCACAGATACACCCTGCAGCCTGCGGGGGGACAAGAACCAAGGAAAAGGGAGTTTGATCATATAACGGTCGAGCTTCGCAAAGGTAAATAAAAGATCCTGCCAACTGCAACCATAGCTCTGATTTCCTACCCTGTAAAAGATGAAGGATGTTCTCTGTAATGCAGCTCAAAA